AAGCTCGTGAGTCTTATATAAGCAGGCTCGGGGTCTTCTTGGCACGAGCCGAGCCGGGCGGTCCCGAGCTTTTCGGGCGAGCCCTGCCATGTCTAATTAGAAATATATAAAATTATTTTTAATATCCGAGCCAGGTGGCTTGTTCCAGTAAAGAAGAATATTATTTATAATAAAATAATCTATCTATCAGAAACAAGACTATTAGAATAATATATTATAATAATTATAAGAATTATAAGATTATTAATAGCCGTAGTCCTCTGATATTTATAAAATACTAATCTGTTTATTTGGATTACTAATTCTTCAAGAATCAGTCTATTTCGTGGATATAGACTATCTTTATCACTATTATATGAATCTATGATGTTTGGCGGCTGATTCCTTACCTAGTCGACAGGCTTTCTACCCTGACAAGTAGATCCTATCACAATTATCTATTTATCTTTTCTCCAGGTGGAGGAAACCATCTTTATCTATTTATAATATTCTATTAAAATAATTAAGAGCCGGTCTTAAATCCTCTATATTTAAAGTTTCTGAATTATTAATACTACTATATTTTAAGTTTTTTCGGGACTACCATGTTGAAATAGCACGGAAAATGTGATAGATGAGTGGAGAATTGAGACAGAGAAACATTAGAGGCAGGAGATTTCCATGCCTGCTTAAGTACCTTTAGGACTGACATTCTTTGCCGACTAAATGATCTCACTCCCTCAAGATATGTTCTAGTCAAGTCCAAGCACCCCTGGCGGTTAATTCACGGGTGTAAGTGGCCTAGAAAACATTATTGCCTGAAGCTCTCGTGGAAAAACCTATTTCCGACTCTATAGCGTCCTCGGAAAGGTCTAGAATCACTCCTGTTCAGCGCTAATTCCAACCTGTGATAATGCCGAAACTAGTATCTTCACCAATCAGGAGTCCAAGCTGCGTGATGTTTGTCTAATAACAGACGGTAGCTTAATGGGGAAAAATTAATATCTCGGGAATTTTCAAATGCCATTCTGTGTATGTCTTCCCCCTCAGCGAGTAAGTTATATTTCTACGGCAAGCAGTATTCATCAGAACATGACACCATAAGATTTCAAAAGTTGTTATCAAGTGTGGTCAGCCATATCTTAGTTAACTAACTGCAGGGCTTCATGACTCATCACAAATTGCCCTGTACTTATATATTCGTTTAGGGCCAGATCAAATATTTTCCGAGAGCTGAGTGGAAATGCTCAACCCCTATACTCGCTTCAGCGCTTCCGCTTCTCAGCGCCTATTCATGTTTGGTACTCCAATCACGGGGTGCCTTTGAGAGTCGAGGGAATAAAATTCAACGCCAAACTACAGATGTCGTGTTTCGACTAAGCGCCGGATTTACATGCTACAGTCGGTCTTTGAGGAGACTCCCAACGGTTAGATTTCTCTTCATGACTGGTCGTGCTGTTCCCTTGGCTACCTGGGGGTAAAAGTCTGAAATTTTGCGGTACCTAACCACTGATATCAAGCTACGGATGTTTCGCGTAGTCTCCACTACGATTTCCTCTCACTGTGCTTGTGTATAAGCATCCACCGTGTTTCGGCAATAGGTATTGCTCCACTTCATTTATTAATGTCGAAGGGCCACATTGCCCTTAGATTTGTTTCATCTTTGACTGGCTCATCATCTTCCTCATTCGGGGTGGATATAGCCACTCTTTGTGGGCTAATTGAGTATCATCCTAATATTCTGGAGGTACCCAACTGTCTGACGCGGTATTCAGCAAACGGGTGTGTTCTTGATAGCTTTCGCCTTTTGGACTAACATACCCAAGACCTTCGACGTTCTCAAGCGGATTTTGGACTGTAATTCAAGGACTACGTTAAACAAAGCGGACCTTCAAAGAGATAATCAAATATTTCTAAATCAGGTGTTGAAGTACGAAACACTATAAGCGGGAATGAATGGCCCTGTCACTGAGATGTAAGCGCCCCTAAATGCAAATTGTATTACAGCCAACCCAACTTCACTGGCAAGCGGCATACGTAACCCTGGCCCTGTATTTTGGAATACAAATGAGAAAGGGGGTAAGGGACGGAATTAGAGGGAGAGCTTCATGTCTTGCGGTGTTAAATTGATATGATTACAGGCTAAGACTGTTTGTTGGTCACGACTATAATAAAAGAACTTCTCTCACATACTGTACTATGTACGAAAAACCTGTCAATTTTCGAGACAAAGAAGATCAGATCCGTCACCTCTTATGCAAGAACTGTGTGGACGTTCTGCAATGTGTCTTGAGTCTCGTGTTATCGCCTTGCAATCCCAAAGCCGCCACCGGATCTTGATCGCGGCGCCAGCGCGCATTTCGGGAATCATGCGAACCGAACTGTTGCTTTAACTAGATAAGATAGTACGATCCGTATCACAGTCCTACTGAATATGGGTTAGTGAGTGGCTTTCTAAGGCCCGGCGAACTAGGGACTTAGATCTAAATCTGTCTACATCTTGCTATTTGTTATATATGCCTCGCAAGTCGTAAAAGTCAAGGTTCCCCAACGATCCATCCGTTTCTCTGGCCAATGTCTTGATGAATGGTCCTTGTTTTGTAGGGTGGGCACAAAAGTCGGAGCCAGGCCTTAGAATCGAATCCTGTGTCTGTAGGACGACGGTCGCACCCGCACACTGGATCGGGATAAGGCGAGACCCACATCGTTGTCTAAAATCTAACTAGTGTAATCAAGAGTCGATTTCATTACGCTAGGGCCCACTAGTTAGCCTATGGACCAAGGACAGCTTTAATTGTGCGCTTGTAATTACTCCTCGTAGCCAAATTATCAATATCCATGATAACGCAAGCACTATAAAGCCTGTGAAAATCTTTGACACATCTCAGTAATGAACCTCAGTCTTCATTGACAGGACCATGACCACTAAGTCTCAGTTGAAAACCGCCGTGCTTGTCAACAACCCCCCAGGAAATGACTTCTGGCATGATGTGAAGAAGTCTTTCCGAGACGTTTTCAGCCTCGTAGCCCCAGAGGCTGAGGTCACATTCTACGACCCCGTTATCCGAGGACATTCCCTAATCCTCAAGAACAGCATTTCGACTTGATTGTCCTCAGCGGGGGCAAGGCCGACGCTTCCTCGTCGGAACCATGGGTTCTCGGCGTCCTTGACTTTATTCGCAAGATAGCCGACGGCACCTCAAAGACAAAACTCTTAGGAATCTGTTGGGGCCATCAAGCAATTGCACGAGCACTAGGTGGCGAGGTTCGACCGGTGCCAACAGGCCCAATCGTATGTGTTATCCATCCCTTATTCCTGCACCGTGCACAGCTAACCATGTGTAATTTTTTTGGGAAGGCCGCGATTCAAGATATCCAGTTAACCGATTTTGGCAGAGATTTCTTTGCATTTGCTGCTGAAGAAGGCTATTACGTACGTTTTGCGAATTTACTTTGTAAACTGAAGCCAGTTCATACTAGTAATGGCCGTCATAGAGAGCTCCAGAATTCCATGTTCGCGAAGTGGCGAAACCAGCTCCCGGGTTCGTTCAATTAGCAGAGAACCGCGAATGCTTTTTGAACGTGGCAGGCACGATTTTGACCTTCCAAGCCCATCCTGAAATCAACAGCGATCTTGCTAGGAGAATGCTTCTGGATGAAGACGATACCTACAACGGAAATTCTACCAAGGAGCAACTGGACGAACAAGTTCGGAGGTTAGCGCAGGCTACAGATGGAATCGAACTTGTTAAGCGAGTTATTCAATGGGTTAGGGAATAGCTGTCTAGAAAGCTCCAGCATATCATGGGCCTCAGGGCTAAAAGGGAAAGGAGGTTCTCGGACGAGACGAAAGTGTGTGGACTATTATGTCCCTCATCAAGTCGATCATACTGACTTGTTATAGGCTACTACTGAAGGGGGTTTTTCGCCCTGGTTTTCTGTTGTATCAGCATTACCTGACAGACGTGTGATGTATGTGGCCCGATTCTGGCAGCCATAATAACTAGACGTACCGAAATTGATACACGGACCGTAACGGTAATTGCTTAGCTATTGTATGGGGAAGGTACAGTGGCTTGCGATAGAGAACGATTCAAACAGTACAGTGTATTGCATTAACTAAGTACTTGCGTAGTTTAGCCTGTTCCACCGGCCAGGTTTTGAAAGTAGAGGCAAAAATTCCGGGAGAGATACGCCAGGGTCCGGACCTGATTTTGAGGCCCCCCAAGGTGCGGTGCATAGTATGCCGAGCCAAGTTGCTGTATCAGATATTTCTTTGCTCTTGACTATCAATTCACATTCTCTAGGGTTAGGAAGGGGACCTTTGAGCACATAACAATAAATACTGACTTGGTAGCTGGGCGCAATGGCGAGAAAAGGCATCCGGCAGTGCTGCGTGCATCGGCCCTATGCCCAGCGCAGTTGATCATCTAGCTGGCCCGTACGGATCTTGCCTTGTCTGAAACGGCAACTTGCAGAATCCCATTTCGTGTATAGATTCCTGAGAGCTTGCTTCACCCTCTTCCATCTAGTCCTACAGCGAGATTCCATATTCTTGTGTTTGTGTCGACGCTCGATGAAGGGGACAATAGAGCTTCGTGTACGGGATTTATTCCATGTCCGTAGTGAATGGTAGGGAACCAATCTGGTATTCAGCCTGTATATAAACCTTCATTTCTTTCGGGTACGAGTAATGACGGTATACCCTCTACATTACAACAATTTCTACGCTGGCGGATATCGCCGGTACACCTTTTAGATTAATATCTTCTTCAAGAGAGACGAGCCTTATGCATTTTGATTAAGGCCCGCGTCGACTCAATCATTACCTAGAATTTCTGGCGACTGCTTAGCCTTGCCCCATTCTGTCACCAGTTGCTCCTACCTCGAGCATTTCGACCACGGTTGGCTGGCAACGGATTAATCCTAATCCGGCGAGCGAGAACGATCGGGTTTCCGAGCCGAAAGTGGATCCCGGGCAAGATTCTGGGCTCATAAATAACCGGATTGAGTGCACGATAACGATACAAGGTGGAACTTTCTCCTCTTGGGCGCTGGTTCCGGCAGTATATACTTCAGATTTGAGTCACTGGCTGCCGTTAGCCACATCATACAATTCGGGCTAACAACGACTCTGAGGTCAAGCAGCAGGGGATATATATGGACCAACCTTGCCTAGTGAAAATCCTCAGCATTATGTGCGAGCCGCATCGGTCGAATTTCAGTGTTGTGCTGCAACATTTCCGTGATCTAAGATCAAAAGAGGCCAATTCTCTTGCAAGCAAGGAAATGCAAGCTTCGTGAATTGCACTCCTGCGTGAGGAAGAAGCGAAGCTGGAGGCGTGGATATCGCAACTTCCACCATGTGAACAACCAATCAACGGACTCAGCGAAACAAATAGCGCTCCGACTTGTTTCCACTCGCACGATGCAGCGCTGAACTACCGTATATTTGTGCGGATCATGCAGTGTACCGGAGTTTTTCGAGACTTATACAGTCCAGAAATATCCTATCATGAGCGAGAATATGACGAAGAGACGTACTGGGTGCAGCAGTTGATTTATATTGCACAGTGGAGCGATATGCGCACATCGCTCACCAAAAAACAGCCACACTATTGGATTCTCTGGGTTGCTCCTGGCAGCAATCCTTCGATGTCGGAGTCTTCCAGTGGGGCTGCAGATCCAAGACTGGCTCCAGACAGGGAGCTTTTCCGATATATCAAACCTTTGGTGTCGTCAAAGCCATCAACCAATTGGGGATGGCTGGCCGAGACACGTTTGCAGTCACCCAGCCAGTGGATGATGGAGGTGGAACGCCCAAAATTACCTCCTACAACAGTCAGTTGATCACAAGCCTCATATTCCATGGAAAATATCAGGGCCTTGACCGTCACTTTGAAGAGTGCATATCTCTAGAGGCCTAGAGGTTGGGGAATTCTGCCGCGATTGAAATCTTCTGTGTCATTTGCCGACAATGCTCGAAAAGCAATCGCAAGTTGACTCGGTTCCATTGCGCTGTTGCCGTTGCGCCCATAATTCCCGTGCGCGTTTGAACCGAAACCAGTATACGGTCCTACGATAAAAAATGTCGAGCTCTCATGTTTCCAGAGCACAGCTTGAGAATGTCACCAGCGGGGTTCGACCTGAAAGCAAGGCCACGGGTATCGTCGTGGTCCGTGACAAACCGAAGTGGACAACGGACTCCATGTCTGGGCCAGTGTTTAGTCATAGTTGGCAGTCGGGAGTCCTAGAGCACGTTATTATTTGTACATACTACGTCAGTATTAACGTTTTCACATTTTCACTTCTTTCAAGCTTTCAGTCCATGCGTATGGGTGGACTTCGGACGAGAGCTTAACTTAGCCGACATCATTGTCAAGGACTTGCTATATAGAATGGACTCAGAATTTCCGGCTTGTTAAGGATAAATACGTACAGTCTTCATGTGAGCCACCTAAAAGCCCATAAGGCAGGGCATCTAGGCTTGAAATATTTATCAGAGTTTTGCGCCTAAAAGCTCAGGGCTAATCGAAGATGGCTAAGTGGGCTATCAAACACAAGAAGTCTGCAACTTTCGCAGAAACACTTAGCCACCTGTTTTGTTTCTAAAGTGAATCTCACTTTCGATAATAACCGCACATGTAAGGCGGCCACCTGTATATTTCAGACTAGCTACAGATTTTGGGCTCTAATATCTTAACCACAATTCTGGTTGATTTCCTTATATTCATGGATTGACATATTTAAGTAGATTGGTACCCAACATCCAAATTATAAATCATCTTATACTTATATCCTCAGGGAAAATATATTACACTTTATTATGAAAAGTATTTCCAAACCGACCTTACAAGTCATGTGTTCCCATGTACAGAGAATAAAGAGGCGTATTCCAAAAGTTCACATAAAGCTGTACTGGGATCTTCTTATGATTTAGCTAATGGTGGTTGAGATACTGGACGCGAAGATCTTGTCACAGTTAGTAGGGGACGCAGGCATAGCCAACTTCTTATGAGGCCGACTCACCTGTGAGAAATACGTTAGTGATTGGACTACCAGCCGTTTTAGTGTTCGTTACCATTAGCCAACATAGAGTTTATGGATACTTCTGGCGTGAATTCGCAAGCTAGATCTACCCAGGGGCAATACTGAAGTAATCAGAAGCTCTACGTAATGGGATATCCAGATGCGAGCAAGATGTCCAAATGCGGATAACTATCCTAGGGGATGGACCTACCTCCCTCTTCTCTGGCTACTTCAGTGAATGGCTTACGTCTGGCTCGCCTGCCGTAACAATGGTGTCATGGAAGTCGAGCACAGTCTCTGGCCATTCTTGTTGTGCTTCGTGACCGTGCCTGCCTCGCTACATCTTTGTGGCGTGGGCGCCGCGTACAAGATCCACTGGTTCGATTTGCTGGTTGCCATGTGTATCCTTGCCATGTCGAACACTTGCGGCATCACCCTCAGCATTAACTACCTAGTCGACAGCTACGGAAAATTTAGCCGTGATACGAGGTCGAGTATTATGCAAGTTCGGAAGACGATGTCTTTTGCCATGGGATACGGGTGGGCTTACACCACCAGCGACATAGAATACACATGCTAACAGCAGAATTCAGTATCACCCCGTGCATAAGCAACATTGGCTACCAGAACTGCTTTATCTCAGCGGCGTTCATTGGCATGGTCTGCTCTGGCATTTTTCTTGTGATGACGAGATGGGGCAAGACGTTCCGCACGCGCGCCCGGGAGAAGTACTGGAATATTGTCGTCGAGAATCGACTACAGGGAATGGCCATTAACCTCTCATCCTAACAGATTTCCATACAACCATAATGGATGAGCATAATCATGAATATTTATATGCACATATGTATAGATAACACGGTCCTAAGCTGCTAGTCTCTTACTCCGGTCGAACAGTTGCATAGGTGTAATGTGGAGTAACGTGGAATATCGCGTAATATATGAAAAATATGAGCAGTACCATTTATTCCTAAACTACGAAGCTAGTGGAAGACTGTTGGACGCCCAAAGAGGCTGTTGGAGAAACTCCAAGTCACTATTGTATGCAGAAAGTCAAATTTACATAGACTGGTAAGATAGGAGCAAACACCACTTGCTTTACAAGATAACTCCTTGCTAATGCTATTACAGTTGAGTCATTGACACCTAGTGAAGGGTCTATATACCTATACCGCGACAAGAGCCCAATGCTCTAACTTGGTCTCCTACCAAGCAACCCCATCAAGAGGTTGATCTATTTGGAATCTCCTCATTTCTTTGCGCAGCAGTGTTATAATTTGGGACGCCGCAATTCATTTTCTCTAACAGTATGAGTCTTCTTGTCCAGACTTGAAATTACAACTTCCATGATATAGCACCTTTCCATCTGCTGAAATAGAAGTAACTATGGATGTGGGATCAAGTGCGGTCCTGTTCAACTAAAGATTTGTTAACAATTTGGTACACTTATTGGGTGATTTGGCTGTAAATATAGCAAACTAGAAGAGAGCCAAAGGTTAAAAAACTATTTGCTCGCTTAAGGATCACAAGGGCCTCTCCATACCACTCATTTGTCTTAGCATAGCTTGCTGGCTTGCTGCGTACTCTGACAATACCCTCGCCTTCAGCGTTTGTGATAGGAAGAGCCACAAACCATGGGATATACTTTCGCAAACTACACGCTCTTTCAGAGACGAGCGCGATCCCTTCGTGGACTTAGTGGTGTTGCTTCCCTTACTCTAGGCCGTTCTCGCTTAGCTGATGATGCTTTCGGGATACACCGCAGACCGGTACAATATTCCTTAGACCTAGGCAATCAAGTCTCTTCTGCCGCTCCCTGTTGGAATTCATAGGAGGACCAATTGTCTGTTCTTACCTGAGAGTTGAGGGTTTATATACAGTATGACTGGGTGCAGTAATCTTGGTGAACAACGGGGACGCTGGGAAAGACTGCTTTATGTGATGCCGGTCCGTAGGTATTATAATACGCATGTTGGAACTAGTTCACGTTGAGCGCGATAGTTGGAAAAGAAAATAACATCGTTCTTCTCTACTAACGACCTAAACAGGCAGTCATTCTGGGGCGATATGGTCGCTGCAGTGGATGCTAGTCCTACTCCCATCCCACATCGTGAGCTTATCGTTGATGGGCTGGCGGAGCTTCTGTCATGGTTGGCACCGCCACTGACCTCGTCAATTCTAATTTAGTGACATTCTACAAGCCTTTCCAGGAGTATCGAAATTAACACGAACAGTGCGACGATAGCCCCTCGAGCGGCAGGCCTAAAGAGCCCACGAAAAATCTTCTCAGCAGATCATCTTTCGGGAGTATGCCAACAAATCACGAGAACAAGCCCCAGGGTATTGGTGTTGCCAGTAGCCACAATTCCACAATGTCTGCAGATTGGAACTCGAAGAAACAATCGAATCATGGCTGAGGATATCTTTTTTCATAGAATGGCAGGGGCATATGCAATAGCCTGGGGAGCTTTGTTCCGACCGCTCTTAAGGGCATGATTGTTGACATTCACGGATGGGGTTAGGGCAGGCACAGGGAGCTGGCGGGGGCGGCCCAGGGTAAATATGATCGTCGAATATAGTGCGAACTAAAATCAGCGGTCCATTCTCTTTATAATGTGTTTTATTGACTGGTTGTATTGACATCCGCATGCGGACAAGCAAGAGAAACCGTGGAGCATTTCCTCTTCCGGTATCGGAAGTGGACTATGCAATGGATTGCACTGCTACAATACACTCAAACTCAGCGGGGCAATCTCTCCCTCTGCCTAAGCAGGAAATCGCCTTCTGATAATCAGCAATAAACACCAAACTTAGAAACAGTATAAGTCCTAATACGATTTACCATCGCCATAGGCCGACTCAATGCTACTTAATTATATTAACCAAGATAATAACACTCTTTTTTCTAACTAACCTACACCAACCATCTTGTGCTACAGATGGTAGACGCGCTTCAACTGCTGAGAATAAACTGTTGAATACTTAAAGAAGCACCTTCAAGCCAGTCTATTAATAAATATACTAATCTATAGAGATTCCTACAATAGTAACACCTGAGAGGACATATACTGAAAGAATCTATGTATAGACTCGAAGGAGATACAGCAGATATACATTAAAATTCATGTTGAAAGTTTAGTAATAGTTGCCCTTTCGGCTGAGCCGCCGGGCGTTAATGAATTGTGTGTGTGTGTGTGTGTGTGTATTGACATCCATTCCGTAAGGAAAAAATATTGCTAAATATACATTTCATTCACGCAGAATTCTAACAAGGAAGTAGGTTTGTTCAGTGGGTTAGACGGCGAAGTATATAGAGAATATTATTGCATTGAACAAGAGAGGTTAGAGAAAATAAAAGCTACATGGATTGTGAAGCCCACGCATAGATGCTATAGAAGCTCGTCCAGCTTAAGGCTTAGAAAGTTGTTCCTTGCGAAAGAAGAACAAGAACCCGGCACTAAATCATATCATCAGTTAGTCTTGGCAAAGAATAATGAGATGAATGAGGAAAATGAAGGGTAAATTTACCACACCAACAACTGAGAGAACAGTGCAATCCAAAACCAGCCATTAGCCACCGAATCCGCCCCCTTTGTAATGTCAGGAGAGATCGGCCCGGGGCCAACATTGTTTGGACCAAAGGCTCGGGCGCAGATAGTGGCCATTGAACCGAGGATCTGTGAGGCGACAAGGGTAAAGAGCATGTGCATGCGGGTTAGGGTCTGTAAGAGGATAATTCCGAATCCAAGGGCCTGGATTGAGTCTAAGATGCCTAGCCAGAGCCAGAGGCTTCTGGATACCAGGGCACCGCCGGTATAGCCCCCAGCTGTCCACGGGAGAAAATAGCCGATGCCTGAGACTGCCCACCAGATTTGAATGAACCGGGGGGCTCCCAGCCCACAGGCAAAGACGGGCAGGAACCAGCTGTGTCGTTTGGAGAATTGGCTGACGAGGTACAGGAAGGCGATCCAGAGGAGACCAAAGGAAATGACGCAGAGGATGGCAATCTGCCATGCCTGGGTATGGATGGAGGTCCAGAGGACTGCAAAGAAAAGCAAGTGTTGGTGTCAATGAAATCACAGTGACTATAGAGAAGATGAGGACGTACAGCTCCAGTTGCGGCCGTAGGGGGCACTAAGGAAGAAGTTCTGCAAGATAACAGCCACGAAGTTCCAAAGGACAATTTTGCGTCGGAAGAGAGACTTGTAGAATGAAGGCACCTTGCCAGGAGTTTGACGGTAGTAGTTGGGAAGACCAAGGATCAGGAGGACACCAATGGCCCACAGGAACATGGCAATGGGGTAACAAATGGCGCTGTGAAGGATCAAGTTAGCCGACTTGATAGTCTCGAGAAGGAGATTTGCGGAACCCACGTCATCTTCCATGTGTTGGATATCTTGTTGTCAGCAGCCAAAAGACCCTCGCTGACAGCCTTCGTCAAGCTGGAACCCCAGTACCAAAGTGCAATGATATACACCTGCTGGATACCCTGGATAACACACGCGCGGAAGATCCACTTCTTGACGGGGGCACCACCTTCGTCACCAAAGTTTAGAGCGAAGAAAACCGAACCGCTCGACGAAGCAGCCGCGTAGAATCCACTTGCGACATTCTGGATCCAGCCACGGGTGAAGGAGACGGGCTCCCAGTGAGCGGAGCCGATGAGCATGAACGCAATACCGTACAGGAACCAGGGAGCCGAGAGACAGACCATAGACTTGAAATAGCGGAAGACAAGCCACCAACAGGCCGAGGTAATGGCATATGTCGTGGCAATTCCATACAGCTTCTCAGCAGTTTCGCCGACTTCACCTGTAAGGAGTGTAATCTGGTACGAGTTTGCAGCGATAATCTGACCGAGAGCTAAGAAGAGGGTGTAGATTGGCCAGTCACCAATCTTGATCTGCATCCACTTCTTCAATCCAGTGGGGGGGACGTAGTCCTTTCCGAGCAAGAACTCATCGTCCTCTTCGTCACTATCCTGGAACTGGTGGCCGCTCTCACGGGATGCATCGTCCATATACATAGAATCGGCAGGAGAGGCATTGTGCTTGTAGCGGAAAATTGACGGAGTGGGTGATTTGATACGACCGAGTCTTGCATCGCGGAACTTGTCGAACCATTGCCTCTCAGACTTGATAAGGAACTCTTCGATACAGAGCTGAGACTCGGAGTTGGATCCATTCAAACCTTCTAGTTGCTTCTCGAACTCCTTGTGATACACACCGTTGCTGTCAGTGAAGAAGGGGTCGACCTTCTGCAGCTTGAAGTCCTTCTTGTTACCGACAACGGAGTCAAGTGACAAGACAGATGTGCTATTTAGTCGATTGACAGGTTTGGCAAAAGGCTTAGGCGGGGGTAGGAGGCTATTCTCAGTCGTTGGTGGCGTGCTAGGGCTCGTCGGAGACATGGCGTGGGGGGGCGGACGCGATAAATCTTGGCTATTCCGTCGAGGCGACGATACAGCAAGGGCACCCAATTTTTCGGCGGCTTGAGCCCGTCTACTCTGTTCAATTTGAGCCGGGGTAAGGGTATACTCCTCTTCACCGTAGTAGCTGAGGATGGAATCAGTATCACTGCCATCATTATGACTCCGGTGCGAGGCGTTCTCATCGCCCTCCAAGATGTTCTCTGCGTTTGGTCTACCACGGCCACGGCCACGCTTTGATAAATGACCAGGACCGGATCTGACACCGAGCGACAGCGACCGCTGCAACCTTGACGGCTGCGATGCTTCGCTGGGACTAGAATCCCCACTGTAAATAGTCTCTTTTCGCTGGGCGACTGTACGGATGTCGCCCAGACGGTTGAGGTTTGAGTAACTGCTTTCCCGGGAGTGTGGGACAGAAAGAATCATTGGGCTGTTAGGACGGCCAAACGGCGTCAGGACACTAGTGGGTGTCGAAGTACTAGAGGGTGTCACAGGGCGATTATGACCCTTGGCAGCTTCCTTATCATGAACCTGGATAGCAGTTGACTGCAGGATCTCCAGATCCTCAACCCATTGGGCGACTGGGAACCGCTGTTTGGCAGATCTAGCACGCATCATGGCACGAGATTCTGTCTTGGAGTTGAGCGCAGCTTCAATAGCGAGCTTGAACTGCATGAGCAGATGTGATGTTAATACAGATTCGACATTGTACCACCAACCAGGCATCTGCCCCAATCCACCGACACGAGCACCAATACCAAGGGCACCTTTACGGCCGAACTCGACGGCAACCAGACCAAAGAGCTCATCGCGGGATGGGATTAGAGCGAATTCAGCACCAGAGAAGATGTAAGGCGGAAGCGCAGTGAATTCAGATCAAGAGAAAACTCAACCAGGATACACCTTCATCATACGGTCAAGTTTCAATGCCGCGAACCGACCGTAGAGATCAATAACAGGACCGACACAGATTAATTAGACATTCAGGCGCGCCTCGAGTACGGCTGGCATGACATCAGCAATCAAGTCAACACCCTTCTGCATAGACCAGCGACCAACGAACACAAGCAGATCCGCGTCTGGATTCTTCTCCAATCCGGCCCATTCCTGCGTCTGTCTCTTGAGCTCGGCACGGCCTGCCTCGAAATCCTGATCAACCTGTATATCGCCAACCTTGGGAAAGCTGTCCTTTGTCCACTCGCCAACATCCGATGGATCCGGGTTGGGCAAGTTGCCAACCTTGCGGAGACCCCAGAAGATGGGGTAACATACATAGGAACACTTTCCATACTTCTTAGAGACACCGACAGCACCAAAACCCTGTTAATGGACACGGAGATAACTGACACCTGCATGAAGAAGATTAAAAACTTCACCGAACTGGACGTAGGAACGGATAACTTCAATATCAAGATTAAAAACGGAACAGACCTCCTCCTTCTCCTTTTGTGTACGCATCGGCCACAGACCTTGGAACTCGGCGTTATGGAGTGAGAGACAGGCAGGGATCGTTTCAGGAAGGAGGTAGAGGGGTGCAAGGGAGCCGTGATAATCATTAATATAATAAAGAGCAATTGGAAATCGCTTAATCACTTCTGCAATACATTGGTTCCAAGCAGAATAATAAACCGCACTGTCAAGGTCATCCATACGAGCAGGGTAAGGCTCAGACTTAGACTATTAACGGAAGACTGGTGCATCGAGGAGGACGTAGATAATATTGTTGAAGACATGGTATTGGACCTGAACCTGGTAGGCATTGCCGAAGATAGTGACAGTCATGGGTGGCGCAGGAGTATCAACAGGGTATTCAAGACCTCCGACGCAAGGAACAACCCAAATAATGTGTTGGTGACCTAGAGTCTTACCCATAAGCTGAGCCATAACACCAAGGCCACCAATTTTGATTTTAATGTCCCAGTCCTCGATGTCGTACTCCATGGTGGCGATCAGAACCGTGCGACGCTTGCCTGCGTCAGCCGCTCCTAAGGCAGTGGTGCTCCGCATAAAGCCACGTCCTCCCTTGCCCGTGCGAATCTGCTTCATCTTGCGACGGAGGGAAAGTGGAATCAGGGTGTGCGTTTCGCTGACACCTACCTGGTTGAACTTTACCTTGTAGAACGACTTTATGAAGATGTAGACGCAGGCTGAGGCACTAATAATGGGGACAATCCAGAAGAGAACGAAGAGAGCGATTTGAACGCTCTGGTTACCGGCCGGAATAAGCTGATAGCTCAATATGCCATCATTGATATAAATCTTCCAAGCGAGATACGGGGAAGGCGGATGTTCGGTGATGTTCAAAAGCGTGGCCGAAAGAGACGAGGGCGGCATTCGGTCAAGAATCTTGTCGCCATCGACATCACCTAGAACCCAGCTTTGGTCGGGTTTCCCATCAGGATTCATACCCCAGACGTTGAGCTGACCGACTGCCGGCCATTCTGAGATGAAGTGGTACTTCCAGAACCCATCCGTTGTATCCAGCTTAACCTCGTTCTCCAGGCCAGCATCATAGCCGTACTGGTTGTAAGGTCCGTTGAAGAAAATATAAGGGAAGCGTCGCGGGACCTTCGATTACCAGCCAAAGTCGCCTTCCTGCACGTAATCGCTACTACCGGTCCAGCGGCTCCAGTACTCAACACGGACGTGATAGCCATCCCATTTCTGCTTCTTGGTTCCAGACCATTTAAGTGTTTGAATGGTATCATTACCACCTCTATAGTCTGTCCAGTCTGAAAATGTCGTTCCCCAGTTAGTAGAGTAGCGATATTTATCAGCGCCAGCGGCGTGGTACTGGATGAACAGAGTGCCGTTCGCATCCTTGTGTAAGAGACTGCTGGAATAGTTGGCCATAGTAAAAACCATGGGATTATCGATTTGACCGATTCGGAACAAGAAATGGTCCACTGCATTTGTGAATGAGTCGCCATTCTTGCTGGTGGCATTATTTACAGTGACTCTATGGATACCGTTGTATACACCTGTCAGGTCCGCAGTCCACTGCCAAACCCCGGGGATCTGACCGGTAAGAGTGCCCTTGACTTCAGGGATTATTAAACAATGAACGGAGCTGGTATCAATCGATGGTGTCTTTCCCATCTCCGTCGACGAGTTCAGAGAAATTGCCTTAGTCACACCATCGCAATCCATCTCTTGCGAGAACTGCAGCAGGATGGGAACTATCTCTGACGCATCTGGTGCGACGGTCGAACGTAGGGGTGAATCGTGTCCAGGGTTTTCATAGTTACCAGGTCGAAACTTAGTGATCATAGGGCGTGGCATCTTGAACACCTTCTTAGGAACGTAGGCACGGAACTCATAGCGGTCCATCGTCAGATTTGCATAGCAGCCATTGAACTTGGTGGATCCATTGAAGCCGCGTTTCACTGGGCTGGCCTCCAGCGTTAGCTCGTCGTAAGGATAGAAGAGGTTCTTGACGGTCGTTCCAGCGTTGAAAGGGGCGATGAGGGCCTTGTCCTTGTCGGCACAGTCAAATTTATAGGGGTAAGTGCTGTTCCTGTTCGAATACACCAACCAGACCATCTGGTTCTTCTCGGCAGAGCCAAAGTCTTGCAAATATGGGTTAAGATCGCGGTGAACTGACCACATGCCGGTCTCCGTAGCAGTGCGATTAGAACCGGGGTAGAGAATGGGTTCAGTTTGTTTTGACAGAGTCTCAAGCAAGTAGCCGTCGTTGAGCATAGAGTACTCCTGGCGCATCTGATACATGTGCTTGAGAATATTGCGTACTGGGTGAGACGGGTCACGATGATCAAAGGCAGCAGACTCGTCATGGCAGCCCTGACGACCGGCCTTAATGGGCCATTGATAGTATTGGGATGGATTTAGCCCGAAGCATCCATGCATTTTCCAAGCAGTTGCAGGTGACATTGCCTGTCGTCCATAGATATAGTTCTCGGCGGTTGCATCTAAAATGTAAAATGCTTGCTCTTCACCCCAGAGGAGAAGAGGAATACCCGGTAGTATCAATGTGGTGATGAAATTACCGAGTAGTTGCCGTTCGACGCCGTACAGAATGGCTGGCCACCGAAAAACATCTTGATTGGTCGCTCCAAACATATGTCTGGGATCGAATTTGCCAGTGTTGGCATTAATCATATCATTCGTCGAGATGATCTGATTCCATGCCTCGACCGAGTCGACAGGTACATCAAAGCCAGCATCGAGCTGACCATCCATACCCAGAAACCGCGTCAAGCCGCGGTAGATTGAGTAGTGGAATGCGGCAGCATCAATAGCCGCCTGACCAACCTCACGAATAAAGTATTGAGGTTCGGAGGTGCTTATCATATTCATGGCCTCCATAATATCATCCACCTTCTGATTCGACTGACGACCCCGCCCAAGATAGATAGAACCAAAAGCATTACCACCAGTTATTTCACCGGCAATGAAAAAGTTCTCCTTTCCGACCTTGCGTGCACATTCTCGATAAGCTGAGGACATGTCTGCAAGCGCGTCAACTGTAGCCTGGGTAGCCTTGTCATACCGAAAGCCGTCAATATCAAGCGAAGCAATTATCATACATGAGTGACGAATCAGGCGTTATCGTACAGAAGGGTGCCACTCCCTCAGACAATCCTGGACCGAGGCGAACTTGGCCAGCTGTCGTTGCCAATCAGGGTGCACGCCAAACGCCTCAATATCACCGTATTGATCAAAGTCGCTATTATAGCATCCGACTAGGCCGGAGATAAGGGACGCATTAATTGGGTAACCATTTTCGTAATACAGCCGAGGATAGTCGCAAGTATCATTGTAGTCATTTCCAAAGTCAAAATCCGCATATCGACGGCCTGTCTTCCACAGTGCTTTATATTCCTCTTCGGAAAAAGGAGTCGACGTGTTGAGATGGCCTTCGAAACCGATAAGGTCGCTTAGTCTGGACTCGTACATGGTCCTTTGTTAGTCTAGGGTTCATCTCTGACCTTACCCAAATAAACGAAATGACTCACGTAGCGATTGTATTATCCAGCACGACATACATTCCACGCTTGTGAATCTCGGTAATGGCACTGCGCCAAGTTTCGATGGTCCCAAAATGTTGGTCGAGAAGTGTTGTATCGAGCGTTGAATATCCATCGGCGGCCCAAGGCTGGTTCATCAGGATCGTACCTGCAAGATAAATGCCCTGGCAGGCCAATGTCAGCATCTCCTATTGTTAGACCCTCCACGAGATTCGAACCTTGATCCCCATTCCCTGAATATAATCTAAAGTATCGAGCAGCCCAGCCACATCACCACCATGCCGCATTTGATTTGAACTAGGATCATGTTCGAACTGTGTTCCGTTGATATTGTCGTTTGTCGGATCACCATTAACAAATCGGTCCATAAATAGAGTATAGAATGGAAATCGCCAGTTGTCTGGAGACGGAAAGTAGTCACCCCGGTGGTTTGGCCACTCACCCCAGTAATCAGCTGGGTTTGTCGCGGATTTGTTGTAGTTGATGTTGTATTCAAGGAGAGACTCGTCGTAAGGCCATGATGTGGCAGATCTTGCAAACAGCGCGACAAATCCTACTGCAAGCCTCCGCATCTTGGGCTACTGGAGAATATGATTGGTAGATTTGCGCAGGTGTAGTAAGGTTCTTCAGTCTCTGGTCGAGACATCTATCTACTGCGTCTGCTTGAAAATGAGAATGGTATTCGGAAGCAACAGAAAGCGAAAAAGTTCAGTACCGGTCTTGCATAATCAGCGCAGTTGGAACGGATAAAGAAAGCCTGAGACAACCCTAGCGCAACACAAAAAGGGCAAAAGCGAAGAACCAAGGTGAGATGGAGCAAAGAGAAAGAAGACAAAAGCTGGCCAAGTTTTTGTGGCAGGATGCGATGAGGTCTATGAGATAAGGGTAAGGCCAAGGGTGCCGTACCGTTGCTAATAATAGCATCTACTTCTTATGACAGTCACATTGAATCCTCACAACTCTGCTTGCCAGCTTGCCGGGTTCAGAGGTTACCATATTCCTACCGGTCAGAGACGGTAACCTTAGTATATGACACAAGGTGCTTAGTACTCCCGTAGCATAATGTAAAATACCTGTTCCTTTATAACTTGGCGTCCTTCCTACTGGAGTCCACAGCCCCAATGCGGCAAGTATAGGAATTTCCTGCTCAAGAGAAGAAAACTCTGGACGAACGGTTGAGAAATTAGTATGGGAATAATGTCGACTACTGGATGCGGCCGCTAAACGGGGAAGTGGCTACAGTCCCGTGTTAACCAAATCCCTACAGTCTCTGCCCGGTGGGGAGGCATGAGAGTGGCGCCCACGGGGCCGATGGAGTTATCCGGGCCTAAAATTGTTAAATGGCCACTCTGCTCTCAAGAATTTGCGCAAGGAATGAGTTGGCGAGGTCCAACCCTTGCAAAGCCTTTTGGTTACTCAGTATCCTGTATGGGATCCGTGGGTGCCATATTTTCTACCTCTTCTCGTAAGCTTATTTTGGACTGTTCCTGCTATCTCACGCAATACGAAGAAAAGTGTAGTGTTATCAGGCCTGAGACTTTGTCTATGCGGATGGGTATGTATCGTACGGCGTGGTTTGTATGAATAAAAGTTTCCAATAGCCACACTAACGGTGAGATCCAGCAAATGTCTCAGTGTGAGAAATCTCTTATCTCCACTGGTATCCAATCCCACTTACCAATAGTTGAGGTTACCGTATTATCAATGGATCCTGAATGCATTATTGGACCAACTTTAGAGGCATTGTAGGCTAAATTTCGTTCAGGTCTCTCACTTCGGTTTGGGAGGATCACTGAGACACTGAGTGGGCTGGGTACAGCAAATCGTTGTTGCTGCCTCGCTCGGTATCCGAGTATTGTGCTTGTCCATATCGGGATCCCAACACGGCAGAAGTCACAAAATTAGCAAATTCATCTTGGCAGCTGGTGATCGAAATTACGCTTGATTAGACCATCATCACTACTAGTACTAGTAGGAACATCCACTGTTTCGTCTCTATATAAAATGCTGTCTCTCTCGGAACCCCGAATTCGTCGTCCCAGGGCGCACTCTAACTTAGCAGCTCCGTTATCTCTTTTGCCTCATAGCCTCACACTCCCTCTGAAATCTTAAATTCCAACTTTGACCCTCTATAAAAGAGCTTATCAAGAGAGACAAGTTGCCCGCATCTTCGCGTTGACTCATCAAGAGTGTACTGCTTCAGTTAATAACAAGGGCAAAGCCCCCTCGAGCTCCTCTTCATCCATCCCTGGATGTGAGACAACCTAATCCGGCGATGAGGGCCCGGTGGACAATTTACGTGCACATCCTCCTAGGGTAGTATTGTCAGTTGTATCTATTGGAAATACTAGTACTGGCGCGAGATTCAGCCACTGATTGGCAATGGAACGCAGCTCCGTGGATAGCTCGGATTCAATGCGCTGACCGAGTTCTCTCCATTTCTCTTCCCTTCGACCTCGGAGGCGACTATACAAACCTCTTTCCTTCGCCCCCTTGTACGTGGGTAACTCTTGGTTCTCTTTATGACGGTTATAGGAGGACTGTCTTGGGGCAGCAACATTTCTACCATTTCTACCATGTCAACCCGAGCTGCTGTCTTGGCTACGGATTAGATATAGTATTGAGAGTCTGACTTCGTCCTTGCTCATGATCAATTGTCGTTGGCTGGGAGAGCCTAGGATCCGCTTGGCAAGTCTGGGTTCGAGCATCGGGCATATAACATAAAAACTATACACAAGCATACGCGTTTATACGTAAATCCCGATTTTAAAACCTTTCAGCTACTGAAACATCACAAAATTCCCACCTCGTTTTGGTCTCGCATTTTACAGGATTCCAATCTATACCCGGTGCAATGGCTGAGGCGACCGCCAGGGACGGCGAATTCGATTGGATAGAGTCTCGCTTGACTGTCGCTGGAAATGGCATGAACGGCTCGCTGGAGCTTTGAAACGTTTGTTGTAGCCCAGGATGTGTCAAGCTGTACGGCGACATTTGAAAGGCCCGTGTCTAGGATTTGCCCGAGCATTTTCGGTGAAGTCGCCTCAACAAATTAACTCTGGCTCGTCTGACCTTCCAGGATGAATTCTATGGTCGTCAGTCTCAAGCAGATCCCATGCTCAACCTTGGGGGGCCGCCGTCCCTCTCTAGACTCGCCAGATGTGTAAAATCCATCACGGATGCTCCAGCTGCAGATCGATATGTAGGGAGGAGTTTATCTTCAACCATTTTCCAGAGCGCTGGAAATCCATGTCCCTGTCTATGGGGCTTGATAAAATGTAAGGATTGGGAAACAGCTGGCCACAGGCATTGACTTACAATATAATCTTAGCCCACAATGGTTTGACAATATCCCATTCGCTCGCCCAATTAAAGTCTAGACCTCGCCAAATCGGGGGTTGGGTTTCGAGCCTTGACCCGAAACCCGCTAAGAAAAATAACTGACTGTAACATATACACAATTACACATGTAAGACATATTCACATATCAATATCTCAAAATTTCATATGTATTACTGTAAGATACGGAGCTCTGGGTTCTCGCCGGGTTTGCAGGTAACCTTGGGCTACCCAAAAAAAGCAATATGGCGAGGTCTAAATTAAACAGTGAACCGACCCCATGTGATCCCGAGATTTCCGATAACTGGGCTGTGACCCATGTTAGGCGACTCGGATCATTTTGCGAGTCCGGCAGTCCTCGTCAGAGGTAGGCTTAGGATATTCCTCCCCGCCCCCAAGGTTAAGTTAAAATTCCGCCAAGGTTATTCTGCCGGGTGCAAATAATACTGTATAGTATACTATTGGAGGAGAGGGAGCCCACCTGGCGCCGGCTCAATTGCCTAGTCTGGTCAACGAGAACGACGGATGACTACGGAGGGGAGTTATCCTGACTCCACTTCCGTCACGGCGTTCCGTGAATGCTATGGCAGCCCTCTACTTCCCCCAACCCGGGCTGCTCTAATGGGGGAAATTGTGCGCTGGGCCGGTGTAACCTTAACGCTCATTGCTTAAACTAGCACAATCGAAAGGGCTGGTATCATACATCTGGTTGGACGGCCTGGGTTCTGGTGGCTGTGCTAGCGTTCGAGCAGACCGGTATCAATAGGACCTCCCGTTGGAGGACGCAATGGTCAATGAGGTGTTACTGGTGTACGTAGTATAGAATTAATGTAGACCCTTGGACAAGGAACGAGAGGTTTTGGTCCGCCTGCTGCTTCCAGGCTGGTTTGGCCCTACTTTCACCAAATCGATCTGCCATACCTCGCTTCAAGATATAATGGCACCGGGTCCGCTTATTACCATCTTTTACAACGAAGTTAGTCCGACGGGTCCTACTGGGCAGCGGGATGGTCGCTATGGAAAGGAAAGCCCAATTCGGTCATTGTTCGCCCTTGTCACGGCGAGATACAGTATTCTCCTGTAAACATGCTGTCACTATCGCTCGCACCTGGGCATGCGTCCAGATAGTTCGGGCAGAAACAGTATCAATAGAGGCTGACCTGGAGCAATGCTGGGGTTGCTCCTCGGAGGTAATACGAATGACAGTTATTAAAGCAGAACGTGGTCTTTGACATCGGCCAATCTTACATGATCACTGCGCGCAGCGCTGGACAGACCTAGGGTACAGCAACCTCTTTGTAGACGCCACAATCAGGTTTCTACGGTGAGTATAGTGTCAGACAAGAAAAGGACAGTGAGCATTTCTAGAACTCCCTGCTTTCTAGTCCGAGTTCATCGGGTTCAAAACACCGATCTAAAACCCCTTGGCCTGGAGCTGACTATGTACGATCGTGTGAATCTGAGCAGAAGCAATCCACCCTAATTAACTTCAATAGGCGGTCTATATATCTCTATATCGCATATGTTTCCTCTAAATGCTCTATTATTTTGCTCCTGACGATGGCGGTTATAGAGCCCGGCGTTCCTGGGCACTATATAGAGAATAGAATGCTACTGTTTGCCCAGCCCCCTAGTCTATATCCCCTATATTTATAGATTCCCCTTCCTACTATCTATTCCATACACGCCTAATCAGGGAAGCCGCACCCTAACTAAGGTGAAAGTAATGACCTTATGCAAGTAAGCAGTTTTAAGGCAAGAAAAAGAATGAGGAAAATTTGACACATGAATAAAACTCAGGTTCTGATAAAGCATAGAATAAGGACAGGCCATGTCTTGTCTAATACCACTTTATATCATAGCACGAGGTTAGTCAACATGACTAAGTGGACTGAGGTTATTCACAGTAAGCCGATATTCGATTATCAGTATATAAGTTTCGCTTCTGTCGGAGTTTCGCTCATTATTCGTGATTTCTGAGCGTTCGCCCACGATCTGGCGGCGGAACAAGGAACCAAAGAAGGTGATGGTTCCCTCCGCAGGATAAGGTGTATCTTGCATAGTACTTACCTCGGCTAATGAAAGAAGACATTCTCATCTGCCCTCTTATATTAGATAGACGACCTGGTCTAGACCTGACTGCTGTTGGTTGCTGACAGTATGTACCCCTTTTTCTGGTGGCGGGTTTTTGAATGTATTCCCGACCTAAGTCAACCTCAAGGTAAGTTCGCTCGCCAGAGCTTCTATGGTAAATATATTATCACGGATGTGATCCGAGCGGAAATATAATATTAACGTCATGGTACGAGAGAAAAACCGACAAAATGAATACATGTGGAGAATATGGCCTACTTTTGGCCAATTTATCAGTATGAAGTGTCGACGAAGACTCGATAATCCGCGTTGCAGATTGAAAGGTGGATGAATGGGATATGTCATTGAGGAGTATATCTTCCTGTACGAAGAATTCCCTCTGTTTTGGCAGCCAAAGCGTCAGACATGCGTCGCGACGAGCAGCGGTGAAGCAAGATATGTGGCAATGTCAGAGGCATCAAAGGAAGCTTTATGACTTCGCCGCGTGTGTAATGTGTCTAAGCCATAATCCCCATATATTCTCCCCAAAACGGGTAGCGAAGGCACCCAGGAGTTCTCGTCAAAAGAGGCAACGAAGCGGTCGAAGCATATTGACGTACGCCGTCATCGTATACGGGAACTACAATCATCGACCCTATTTTAGCGTCGAGGGGAACAGTCCCAGCATAATCCAGCTCATGGACATACCAAGATCCACAGCACAATAAGGCATAGGCATTTGTTCACCTCATCAATATCGACAACAATCATCCAGTTAGATTAGGCACCAACCCACAAACTTCCCCTACCTATTTTAGCGAAGCCTAGAGTATGAGAAGTCTCTCCGAAATAGCTCAGGTATCCTGTAGACTCTGGTTTTTGAGTGATGGGAAATATCATTATTTAGACAAACAGCCCCGTCAATACCCGGGGCACATCCGAACTCAGCATGTCAATGACGATATTCTTCCTTTGATGCCGGACCGCTCCTCTTTAGCCAGCCTTATTCCGAAATGGACTTCTAGGGCATTCACTCTCTCTTCTTCCGTCGTGCAGGTCTGAATTAATATTGATTTCCCGCCAAGATTTTTCTTCACTCGGTCATGATCCAGGATGAGCTTTCCATAGATACCGTCATCCCTGCGCAGAAATTTGACTACAAGCAGCCTGGATGTCAGGAAGCAGTCTGGGCTGCGACTGGTGAAGAAATTCATGACCTCAAAATCCCGGAGAGTGAATTCGATTTCAGTAAATGCATATGCTGACACCCACGGCTGATCTCCAGTATTGCGAAACTGATATGTCCACAAATTTCGCTGTATGCTATGGTAATTTGGCTTCTGATCGTAGGATAACCGTACTTCTTGAGTGCCGAGGTTTCGAAGAGTCACGTTCGGGGTGAGAGGTAGTGGGGCCGTTGGACCATTTCCACCATAGCCAACATCCACCAAGTACCGTTGCTGATCAGGTAGGGTCACGATATTGACAGAATGCTCCCTTTGGAAGGTTTGTCATTGGCCACTCAGTTGACATTAAAGTTATTGTGAAGAGGAAAAGGCTACATTAGGGAGGCTTACCAACCCGACCATCCAGAGGGCTGACTATCACCCGTACGATGAAGCCGTGCTCCTGTGAGATACACCTGGAAGCCAAAAAACCGAAGAACATGGTAGAAGAATATATTATTCTCCATGCAGTAGCCACCACGGCGGTCCACGACCACTTTCCCGTAGATATCGGCAACATCTAGAGATATACTGGAATTCTCCGCATAGTGGAGAGCGAGGTTTTCATAGGGAACCCTTGAGAGATGGCAGGATTGAAGCGTTGAGAGAAATGTGATGTCTAATTCAGGGCGCTGATCACGCAAATAACTATCCGGCACGTGGATATGCCTGAAATATCCGTCGATTTGTTCTGCAGACAGAACAGAACCTGTGTTGCTGTCAAACATGTGATGCTGGCTCGAGGAAAATATGGTTCACGATAGAAATAAAAATAAGCAGTGGCGACCAAAAATTCTTACCTGTCTTAGTATTTATGCGCCATTTAGTCCCTGGTCGCTGTCATATTTCTTTTAGGCAAGTCCATGCGGAGTGGGTCAAACCCAAAGGTCCATTTCAACATCGAATTCGGTAGACTTTTGAACTGGGAGGGTAATTGATGTGATACGGGCTCCTGCCCCATTTTCTAAATCCTATCAGAGTCTTTGGAAGTTCCATGTCAGATTAGTGGGGTATCGGCGTTTGACCATCCCCGTTCGCCTACTATCTAGTCCAGAGTCAATTCGTAAAAGACGGGAGCTATGCCTAAAATGGGGCACGAGAACGACAGGCCAACCCACTATTTTGTTGTATTGCTGAACAGCGGATTTTATGATGTCATGGAAACGGACAGTTTGGGTGGTCGGATAGTATGACTCTGTAGATAGTCTACCAGTGTTTCCACCTGCTCTGGTATAGGGGGATCGAGTCGCTAGCAGCGGAGCCTGTTAATATGATGTAGTAGTGGATAAAGTGGCTCATCTCTCTCAAAAGTAGAGATACAATGGCATAGTGGTGTGCCTTTGTAGAGTCTGGCTAGATGCCTCCGGGGCATTTCGAAAGAAAAGTAGGAATCATGTAGGCTCAATACTGTACCTGGTAGAACATTTTACAAGTATAATGAAGCCCACGAGACGAGAATATATATTAAATGATGCGTCCATTAAGGGAAAGATACGGATATCTTATTATCATTCTCAATATCTTCCTACAATTAGATAACCCGGGCACTCTGGCTGGCCTGGAGATACTAGAACCCGTTCCTCTATTTTTAACACATTACTCTACTTCTGTGGGGTGGATACTACTAATTCAGTAGAGGAGCAGATAATTACCTGCAAACTTGAGATATCAGTGAGCTGGCACTTGTATGTGACATTACTTGTAATCCTAAAGAATGTTTTGACTGTGGTTAGGTGGCAGCCCTGGTAGGAGATTTGTAAATCTATGATTTTTCTCCAAGGCATAGTCCTTTCTCGTGTTCCGCTACCTCAACAGATAGGACTGTTCTATCAGAGAGCTTGAATACGGCAACAAATCAAGGATCGTGCAACTTCTCACTCTGGAGGGTTCTCTCCTAGATAGTCTAATCTATATGGAATATAACCGATGAGCCTTCGCAGTGCCTGCTCAGGCTTGCTGGATCTCGGAAATCTCTCCCAAATCTGACTTTTGCCTTTCACGTCTACTACCCGTCCATCCCCGGGATAACATGTGAGACATGACCGCACACTGAACACAACTGAAGCTCAATCATCTTTCACACCAACCCTGCCAATCCGCCTGAGTCCCAAACCAACGACACACAGTGTGACCAAATTGGCTGCAAAGCAGTACCAGAAGGCAGCACGATAGCCATCTAGGAGGGCTAGCGGGCTATCATGCTCGGAGCCGGGATATTTATCCGTGACCAAGTTTGCAACGATGGTCGAAGTAGTAAGTCCGAAGCTTCGGCCGATCTGTGCAATAGTATTATAGACCCCACCTGCGATACCGTGTCTTTCCTGTGGAAGAGAAGCGGTCATGACCAAATTCGAGATCGTGTACAGGGTATCAGCACCGATCGCATTTGTAGCCATGGCCGGGAAGATACATGCCCAATATGGCCAATCAGGGTTAACAATAGCCATTAAGAGAGGAGCAAGGGAGGCTGTTATGACCGCAAAAATTGACAAGACATCTGCCCTTACTCGCTGGATGAATAGCCCCACAAGAATGCTGGCTAGCACTCCGCCAACTGGAGCGGGCAGAAGCCTTACTGTGCAGCAACTCAGTATCTATCCCCAATCTCTCGAAGATACCCGGAGATCTCAACGTACCTGATGTCTGGAGCGCAGATAAACCTTGCACGTATTGGAAGAACAAAGAAGCTAGAGTTTCAGTGGCATTAAAGGCCCCCCAAACTAAGAAAACATTGACGCACACACTGGTGAAAACACGATTACTCCAGATAGCAGTAGGGAAGAGCGCCGTTCGGCCGGCACCTTCCTGGTATCTTATCCATAGACAGAATGCGCCAGCGAGGATGCAGGACAAAATGATCAATGCAATAACGGTAGGGTGTGAAATATTATGCCCACTACTTGCTAATGTACTTGAATAGACGTTAGCCTGTTGGGTTTGAGAAGCAACGCAAATGGATTCACCCACGTCAGGACGTATGATATGATTGCCAGAAAGGCACTTGCTAAGAGAGCGCCAGTCCAGTCTATGCCGTGTAGCAAAAGATGGAAAGTGATCTTCCTCGGTGGCCCGATGCTGGGGAGCATGGCAATGGCTACCAACATGTTTAGACTGTTCAGTATAGCCCCAGAATAAAAGGTCCTACTTAATATTAATACTATGCATCATTCAACAATAAATGCAGGGTATTAGCGCTGACCATTTCCACCCTATCGTGTCGGCGATGACTCCACCCAAGCAGAGACCTATGGAGAAGCCAACGGGTTGTCCCCCTCCCATTGAAGCAAACGCGATGTTCCGTCGCTTTCCATTGCTGAAAATCTTCGTTGTAATGCTAACGGCGGGAGGAAGACACAATGAATTAGCCAAGCCCGCAACAGCTCTGAAGGCGATGAATTGATAGCCGGCTTGGGAGAAGCCACAAAGAATGTTAGCGAGTAATTGAAGTAGACAGCCGAGATGGAACAAGGGTGGGGCGCCGAAAACGTCGACCAGGGCGCCGCTTAACAAAAGCGTACATCCACTGACCAGAGAGAAAATAGACGCCGGCCTGCATGTAACATGTCAATCTAGCACGTTGGTCGTATGTAATGCAAACCGGAGTTACCTGTCTTACCAAAGTAACAAATTTCGCGAGATATGGATATCTGCTGCAATTTTTGGGAGACAGACGACGATTGCTCCATTCAGAAAAGAAGGAATGGCAGTAGTTAGAGACAGAGAGAAGATGAGTGCAGAGGCGGAGATCCCGGGCATCTCCGTACGAGTGCCGATATCATCATTCTGGAGCTCAGGTGTTCTAACTGCTGGCGGAGAGGCAGCTTCTCGGCCGCAATTATCCAGAGCAATATCGGGATTGCGCGACGGCGTTGGAGGATCAGTTAGCTCCAAGTGCGTGATCATGTCGGAAGACATCCGGGCGAAAGATGACTCCCAGCGTTCAACACCGGGGGGCAGGAGTTTATCCAAAAACGGCGAGTAGGTTCAAGGGCAGCGTACCTCTGCGACCATTATGACATTTATAGACGTGGAGAGCCGGCTAAACCTACTTATCACACTGCATGTTAATAAGTAACCAGCTCAAGTGGGTGAGTCATAAGTGGCGGGGCTACCCGGACTACTAGTTGTAACCAAAAGCATAGAGAATTCCTCGAAAGGGGTCATCATAATCCTGCAGGCGCAACGCCTATTAACATCTTTCTACCGCTAGATTAAAGCCTTCCTGAAATGCACTCACCAGAAATGGAAATAAATTTCCCAATTATTGGCGCAGGGCTTGCTGGACCGAGCACTGCTGCCCTTTTAGGTCAGAACTGAAGTTCCTAATCCCTGTTCCCTTCGAATAGAAACCCGACTCGACGTCTACGTCTATATATGTGCATATAGGACTGTAAGAACTAGTTATTACGCGCAGGTATTTATATACTACCATCAGTGTGCGAAGGTGTCAATCTTTACAGGTTGGGCATTGTGAGACCCGCATCGGATTTCCTAAATAAGTAAAGAGAACCTACCTTGTCGGAATTGCTTATCAGATCAGGCGTTTGTAGAGAGGTGAGATGAGTAGCGAGATTTTGTCCACATGTATTCTCAGCACATCACATATCAACGTTGCAAATGAGAGTTACATGTTGAAACATGCTTCGAACCCCTGTACTACTGTATGGTAGCGAGCGATCCTAAGAATGCATCAGGCGGTTGATAAGGGATATAGAAGAAGCTATTGCCAGTGGACCTAGTCTGCCATGAAGGTTGCACCATTAATCTTGTCCTATAGCGCAAGGATGTTAGATGTTAACGTCGCTCTTGCGCACCGGATAGGGCAGGTGGGGCTTAACGGAAACATGGAATGTTGAGCCCTCTGGCGCGGTAACGGTTAGCTCAGATGGTTTTTGGGCCTAGCGTCTTCCATAGTGTGTGGCTGCTACGTAGGTGGTTTCTGTCTGATTGTAGCGTCTGCGTATCGACTAGAATTCAACTTCACGCATGTTCGTGTGCCTGTCTTTCCGCCCAGCTCTCTGGCGGAAACCCAAATGCAAAATTGAGAGTTAAGCAGCTAAACTACAATAGATAAATGCGGAAACACACGTGATGAGCTGATGCTGCATCTGGTTGGTAAGTCCTAGCTGTAACATAAGTTCGACAAGTTCTGATAAGCCACGGGTAAGAAATATGTAGCTGGAATAACAGCAGCTTTTTTGCCCATTTTTGGTCCATAATGCTGCCAAGATCGAAATATCAGATTACTTGCTTCATCCTTAGACATAACTTTCCCTATGTACATCAGCTGCTTAAGTGCTCACCTTACGTATATCCAAACTAATATTGTTTCTGCATATTCAGCACCTTTGAGGGAGCGGGGGTCTTTGATGTGATTTTGCGGAGTCACCGAAAGACATAATTCGTTATCCCAGGGTAAATTATACTGTAAATTTTGTGATGTGTTACTGCTGTCTGTAGCTCCTACCAGTTTTTGTGATCTTTAGTGATCGACAACATGATAGCACATATTGCTATCATGTATCCCATCTCTTTATTAAATAATACAGTATAGGTTATCAAGGTCCATTATTCCTCTGGGTTAGAAAGTGAAGGCGTAGTCGGCATTTATTTTGCAATTATAGTGCAGCGCGGCCATCACCTCATCTTAGAATTCTATATGCGTCTTAAATCAATCTAGGCTTTTGACATTGGCTAGAGGAGGTGCTGCAAAAGGCACAGAGCCGGTCCCAAGACCATAGCCCATCCTGGAAAATGACGTTCCAATGTCGGTTGGGTTAAAGGATGCTCTCTGCTAGTATTGCAGCTTTGGTGGAAGATATCTACGTTCGGAGGGGAAATCGTGCATGTATCTTCTCAATAGTAGCTCGGCTAGAGACCTTCCGGGTGTATGTACCCGGCAACTCGTCTTTCTGGAAAGTCATCTGAAGGTAAATAAACATGAGCATCTGCGTCTAAGATGGACCAGCAAGTGCAACGTATCTACTCAATCTACCAAGCTGTCTGTGTTATTGTTCAAATCCGAAATCGTATAGATACGACAAACTATGTCTAATACATCATAAAGGCCGCCCCTCCAGTATGTATATGTAAGCTTCTTCTCCCTTCAGCCCCAGATCATACGTCCTGACGAGACGACACGGTATAAAGGCGCTGCAGGCTAATATTATATAGTTTGCTGTCACCTACACTGCAGAACAATTCCACAGTGTCTGCCGCGGTAAAGTTACCGCGGAAGGACTCCTTGGATGTTATCAGACGGGCGCAGCAGGATGGTTGCAAGAAGACGATGCTCACCACAATGACCAGGGCTAGTACTTATGTCAATTTGCGACTGGCAAGGCAATACCCTGGCATTTGCAGGATGACTTCGGGCGTACACATCCCTACCACGTCAACAAGATCTACGCTGCCCAAGCCGGCGGTGTATTGTATCTCCAAGACCCTCGGGAATTCGGAATGCGGCTGCTTGCCGAAACTCTTTCGTCGCTAGTGGCATTCGGATAAGACGGACTAGACTATGAATACCTCAGCCCCTCCAACAAAGAGACCCAGCAGCGAGTATTCCGCGGTCAACTCAACTACCGCTCTTCCTACATAGATTATTTCACATGTCCTGGTTCCCTGGTGATGGACTGGTTCATTCCCTCTCGGGATCCGACTCGGAGATGGAGCAGTGGGCTGAGTTATGGTTGGGTATTAGTGTGAATGGGATCAGTTTCCGGATAGACGATCAGCTGGATATGGTGCGCCATGTACCGCTAAACAGATGCCGGAAAGGGACGCCCCATGGTGCGAAGTGTTGAGCAATGATGAGGAGATCGCGTCATATTTGGGGACAGCACGCCCGCTGCCTCCCTCCGGGAAATATCAGGAGTTTATTGCTGGGCAGATGATCAAATCACGCAATGAAGCTTGTACCATTGAGCGCGTCGCGATGGTGGTGGCTGGTGTTAAGGGAGTTCCGGTGGAAACTGTGGCGGAAGCAGCGCGGAATAACAGCGTGCATTTGTTTGGACTGGGACAGAACTTGATGGTATATAGACTAGTCAAGTCAGTACTCTGCTCGCGGGCGTAGACATGCACCGCTATCTATGACGGATAATAGCAGCTATTGGGCATTTACAGATTCTTTTTGATGTTTACTGCCGCACAATTCACAGCGGAATCTAATTGGAGCGCCTAGAATATCCTATTGAAGCTGTATGACTTGCTTGGCTCCACCGAATGGCTACTGATCCTGAACTCCACTCAGCGCAAGTCTTGCTCAATTGTCGTTCATAAGGCCCGGACAACTGGGAGTGCTGGTACTGGTATTGGTGATGATAATAAAGATAAAACCGTATGTATCTCTTAGCTCAGTTTCCTGATTTGCCGGATAGTATTGTGCCCTCCTCATTGCCCATAGTAATGAGAATACTTGCAGTCCCGGCAGTTAGTTCTTTGTTTCGAATAAACGCTTCGCCATGCGGTAGCGGTGCAGTGAAAGCTATTCTGTCTCTAGCCCTATACCGGTCGCTTTAGAACAAACTTCAAGAAATGGACCCAGTGGTCCAGATTCTGTTTTGTTGTCGCTTGAGAACTCCTTCAATCGAGGTATCACAGGGCTAATTCGCCGTCGCGATCTACAACACACTCTTTACTTTGGGGGGTGGGGGGGGGGGGAGAAGAGGGTTGTCCAGATGTGACTGAAATAGCATTGTCTCTAGCCAACAATCGTCTCCTTGGTAAAGTGATTCGCTATCCGGTCCCTCAAAGTAGATTCTCGCAAAAGGCAGAACTGTGGCCGGTTCCGACGGCACGGCCAGCCAAGTCACGTGGTACCGACACGTCACACGGTCACACCTGAACGCTCTTTGCCTCGCGTTAAATGGTACCCGAGATTTGGTATTCCAGCCAGAAACGACTGTGGTCCGCTCCCGCGGCTGCTTCGGGTTGACTTTCCTGGAACGAAAAGGGACATCTGTCTGTCAATCTCAGTAATGTACGATATAACGCGATCCATGCATGAGCTTAGAATGGTCAGGTTACATTTCTGTCACAGGAGAAATGTGAGCGTTGCATTGCCCCAGAATGGTGGAGAAGCCAGTGACTAGGGCCGTTCAAGGGCTGCTTCCACGCTGTGAGACACGAGAAACTTAGCGTCAGTGAGGCCTCAGTCTTTCTGATACAATGGTGGTCAGCCGCTGCCTAGGTCAAAAATCAGTCTTAGCTATGGTAGGTAAAGCGGAAGGCCAGTCCCACCGGATGAATGGCCTTACGTCCACTTGTCAGTGGGAGGGAGATTTTACGCGTCTGGTCGACGCCATCGGCCTGCACGAATGTCTCCACCATTGCCATATACTTATTGTAATCAATGATGGGACAGCGAGGGAAGGTAACAATGGGCAGGCGACGTGTAGGAGACATGGAATGAAAACGAACGTGTTACAGCAAACGTCCAGGTCCATGTTCCTATTTCCATTCTCCCCTAACAAGATCAAATCCTAATCATACGTTGGCAATGTCCATCGAGACTACCCTGGGAACTACATGGGGTGATATCTCTCACCTACGTGCAGCGCTTGTTTGACGTGATAGACATCCCGCACAACGGGATGACCCTTCCACACATCATCGTAGCATAGCAGGCACCTACAGCAGACCGCAATCCACATACATAGCGCGATTTTCGAGACACAGCTGGTTTTATCACCAGGTGGTGGGACACTCTGGCGGCCAAGGTCTCCGGGGTAGATGCCGTCCTTCGTGCCATCGGACAGGTTTGTTGATCCGACCTGGAGCAGCCCAGTCCAGTACATCACGTGTGTTCTTGTTGCGCGCTCGCCCGCTTCAGCTCGAATAATAACTTGTCGCAGAAGCAGGTGGGTATCTTCCCCCAGGTTTCGTGGATGATCCATTGGTCGCTGTGCTTAGCGATACTATGGATGCTCTTGCACTTGTCGCATAATTTAGCTGGTAAGAGGTAAGAGCCTAGCCGGACATTCGCTGAAAATTCACAAAACACGCTTCTTGCCATGACAAGTCGATCGCGCCCATCGGTGTGAACACAACCACTTCGTCTCACAGAAAGGAAGTTTAATGAGCTGAAAAGAACGCAGTCGGGGGCGAGGGACCAAGTATCGTCCTGATACTATACAATACATTCAACACCTGAGACAAGAAGCCCTTTTACCCATTTCAATAAGAAGAGAGATCCAAGCATTTGCTACGGACGGAGTAGAATGGTCATTCACGCAGGTCCCCTTCCTCTTTTACTTGCTCAAGCGACTAGTGACTGTTGGGACTATCTTGTTGGGAGAGAGTGCTTACACAGCCATCCACAGAAGGCTGCGACACTAGCCCCGCCATTGGTACCCCCTCATGCGGCTACACCTATGAACAGCGAAACTGTGTTTCTTGGAAGGATCTTGACCTGAGTGTTCCAGTTTTCCAACACCTGCACCGACGTATACACTTTGGCGGCCCCGATTGGTCCTGACCAACGCTTGCCCGGTATTTCTCCGCAATCGGCGAATCCCCGGAGTCCGGGCGCAATTGACTAAACTGTAGAGTGGAAATCAGGGATATATATACCGGTCTTGCAGTCAATTTCACCGATCGAAGATTGGAGTTTCTCCGAGGAAGCTCATCGGTGAGCCGTTGTCCCTAATCATGGAGCAGTTATCCGCTCAATCCCGGGTACGGTCCGCGTCTGTACACTGTCAACATCACCCCACGCGGGAAAATAACGCATTCGATGAAGAATGACAGGCTCCGAACTTTTTGAGACGCAGCTGACCGATTGCACAAGTACCATCGAGTCAGTTAGGGAGAACATAGTTATGTGGACGAACATGGATAGGAAATTCCGCGAATATGAAATAGTTAGTAGGGTTTTATGAAAGGTAGGCCAAATAGACCAGGTAATAATTGAGTTGTTGGGTGTTGCAATGTAAAAGGTTTATCTACCTGTGAACATTATTCGGAGGACCCCGCTTTGTAACGCTGGCTATCGAAGGAACAAGGCAGTGCACCCAAGACATACGAGGACTACTACGAGTTGCCGAGGAATTCACAACTAGCTCATATATAAGCAAGGTCATCTAGTGTCTGAATCTCCAGGACCATCGTCTCACAAAGTGAATTCTCAGGAACCATCCGTAATGGCTCATCTCCCGAAGGTCCTTGCCGTTTGTATTTTGGCGGGCATCGCATATGCCTTCAACTATGACCAGCCTTACCGTGGCCAATACCATTTCTCACCCCTGGAAAATTGGATGAATGATCCCAACGGGCTTCTATATCATAATGGCATCTACCATCTGTTCTTTCAGTACAACCCTGGCGGTATTCAGTGGGGCAACCTATCATGGGGCCATGCTACCAGTCGCGATCTCACCCACTGGGAGGAGCAGCCCATCGCCCTTCTGGCCCGTGGATACGGAGGCAATAACATCACCGAGATGTACTTCAGCGGAAGTGCTGTTGCCGATGTGAACAACACAAGTGGCTTCGGAAAGAACGGCAAGGCACCCATAGTAGCCATGTACACTTCCTACGTACGTACCCATCCCCAAATAATTTCCTGGGGTGCAAATAACTAACAGTATTTCATAGTACCCCGTTACGCAGACGTTACCGAGTGGTCAGACCGTCCAGGAGGGCCAGCAGGCACAGTCCATCGCGTATAGTCTTGACGATGGTATGACATGGACGACGTACGATGCTGCTAATCCAGTCATTACAAACCCTCCCGAACCCTATCAAGCTCAATACCAGAACTTTCGGGATCCCTTTGTGTTCTGGCACGAGGAGTCCCAAAAGTGGGTCGTTATCATAAGTCTTGCCGCTTTGCACAAGCTCGCGTTTTATACTTCCGATAACCTCAAAGACTGGAAGCTGGTGAGTGAATTCGGCCCTTACAACGCGCAAGATGGAGTGTGGGAGTGCCCAGGCCTTTTCAAGCTGCCTATTGACGGGGGAAACTCCACGAAATGGGTCCTCACGAGCGGACTGAATCCCGGTGGACCCCCAGGCACCGTCGGCTCAGGAACCCAGTACTTTGTGGGAGAATTTGACGGAAACACATTCACTCCCAACGACGACACAGTATATCCGGGAAATTCGACCGCCAACTGGATGGACTGGGGCCCGGACTTCTATGCTGCGGCCGGCTACAATGGCCTTTCGCTTAACGACCACGTCCACATCGGATGGATGAACAACTGGCAGTATGGTGCAAACATTCCCACATATCCCTGGCGCAGCGCCATGGCCATTCCTCGACACCTGGCTCTGAAAACCATCTGCGGCAAAGCAACACTAGTACAACAGCCCCAGGAGGCGTGGTCTTCAATCTTGAGCAAGAATCCAGTCTATTCGCGTACCTATAACACCGTCCCGGTAGGCTCCACCAACGTGAGCACGACCGGAGAGATGGTCAAGATAGACTTGAGCTTCTCTGCTGCTTCAACGGCATCATCATTTGCGATCGCCCTCCGAGCCTCCGCCGACTTTAGTGAGCAGACCCTTGTTGGTTACGACTTTGTCAACAAGCAACTCTTTCTTGACCGCACCAAGTCCGGAGACGTGTCATTCGATCAGACATTCGCGAGCGTCTATCGTGGGCCTCTCACACCGGATAACACTGGCATGGTCAGCTTGAGCATCTTTGTCGATAGGTCCAGCGTCGAGGTGTTTGGTGGCCAGGGCGAGGCCACCCTGACGGCTCAGATCTTTCCAAGTAATGATGCGGTTCACGCCCGCTTGCTGTCTACTGGTGGAGCTACTAAGAACGTTTACCTTGACATTTACAATGTTACTTCGACATGGAATTGATCCCTTTTAGCTACTCATGGCCGTGTGTGTGTCTTGAGAGGCAGGGAATATGTAGTTTAGGACCTCAGGGTCAACCTCTAGAACAGAATACAACGGATTCCTTTTCGGTTCAGGCACAAAGCAAAGTGCGGACAGTCAGGCAGCACCAAGTCCGAGTGATAGACCCACAGCGGCCCAGTTTTTGCACCTCATCACTGCGAACCCCTCTCGCCAAGAGAAGAATGGACCCATATGTACGTCAGTACTTTGCGCAATTTATGGCAGATGATGAGATTCGAGAATTTTAAAGGTGCATACGCCATGCGCACAGCCCTCGGCTGCCCGGTCGCGCCCGGTCGCCCTTCTCGCGACTGGAGTACACGCGACCCAGCAAGGCATATCGTACCTCCTCGCATTCTTATTCCCGGTGCTTGTGGCATGCTGCTCACTCCTCAACAAATTTACATATTATAAGCGAGAGGGTATACGGGTTCGTCGCGGGGCCAGCAATAGGCGGCATACATACTTACTGCTGTACGGCGGCTGATTCCAGACATAATGGTATAATGGTAAGCACATATGGTATCCAAGCCAATATTTAGGGTTATCCGAATTTTCGCATATGTTGCTTTGACTTGGTAGTAACTGCCATATCAACGGGTGTTTCGGATGCCCTTCGGAGAAGAATCTCTAGTGCTAATACTTCTCGCTATTTTCACGGTGTAGTCTTCATCTTAGTCTGCAAGCTAGAGTGATAAGATCGTATGCCCATGTCACGGAACTGGAAGTCACCGTAAATATGCTAGAGAACGATGCGTAGTGCCGAAGGAGAAATATTTCTTCATCAGCAGGAACACTAACCGTGGTCTTATCGCGGAGCTGTTAAGCGCGGAAAGCTTGCATGTACTATTTATATATTCTGGTAGGCAAGTTCACATACCCAAGTCACATTCGCTATCCTCCACACCTTTGCCTTTCACGCCTCAGGCTGTATAGTCTGGATAGCAATAATACAAGCAATACTCCTTACATTTCCCTTACACTACGTTCTAACAGGTTATAAGCCTGGCTTGTATATCCAGATAAGCTATTTTAATTTTATTCATCTCTCCTTTAGGCCTCCCAATCAGCCAGAACAGATCTGTAAGACAAGATCTTTGATCCTAGAAACTCTGCATTAAACTGGATTTGTATAATTGATTATTTAATTTCAGCTAATAATGCTTAATTCCTTTACCAAGTCTACAGCAACCCTTTAGCGTGTTGTGGAGGCTGACATTATTGCAGGACACCGAGAAAGAAAGATAATTTATTCACTAAGGGTTACAAGTTCCGACTTCAGTTATTCGACTAGTTCTTGGTCGTATCCGTCTCCCAGTAGTCGATCCTCTTTGTCGAAAAGCTCAAGTTCCAGTTCTTTTTTACGTTGCTGGAAATGATAAAACTGCGTGATGGTGGAAGACTGAGCAGCCATCATGGCAATCCTGTTATTTAGGCCCCTGATTTCCTCGTCGAAGCGTGAGTCTGGTGTGATATCCTCGGACAGAAAGACATGCCGGTCAAGGAAATAAGCGAGCAATTGCTTCTCAGCGTGCGAAGCTTTAAACTGCTCTGGGATCCCTTGGTTAGAGAATCGGCCGGCAGTGGATGGCCCACAGCAGCCGCTATCTTTAGAACCGTTTCTTTCCAGTCCTTGCTACTTACTCTGGTGAAGAACTATTCCGAATGACCCCACACACTCATCGCTGCTGCAGAAAGTAAAGGGCTACCCCTGTCTACAATTGGTTGAGCTAGACCAAAAGCCCTGGGTTTCCTGTTATCGCGCAACTATCGATCGGCGCTTCGAGAGAGGAGTATCTTGGTAGTCTCTAATCTACCCCAAAGGGACGCCTCCATGAGCGCAGTTCTTCCATACTTATTTTTGGCATTTACTTCACTGCCATGCTCGAGAAGAAGAAGAACCATGGTTGCGCTTCTCTCTTGGAAAGCCATAATAAGAGAGGTATCTCCGTCTGACCTTTCAGATGATGTTTTCAGATAATGCTTCACTTGGTATATCTTGCCGGTAACACAGTTTGATTAGGCAAGTAGAACGCGCCGCGTCTCAAATGGCACTTCATCTCTGAGTAGTGACCGTCTCCGTGGAATCGTCGAAGCAATTTTTATGTTCAATATGCCCATGTTGGAAACTGTATTAGATAAAGATGCTGTCTCATCAGGATCCTCCTCTGAATATGAAACAGTATTGACATTGGCAAACCGCGCTCTGATATTGCCAACCTCGTACGCAAAAGGAAAGTTGTATTGATAGGAAGGTCCCTCAAAGTCACAATGCAGAATGCACAGCCCACTTTCGTGTGACAGAAATGTATGAAGATGAATTTCTTTGTAATAAGGGCAAAGAATCCAGAAGTCGGCATTAGTCTGCCAAATAATGTCAACTGAAGGAAAGGTTTGCTGACTGGACATTTTTGCTAATGATGGAATAATGTTTGGTTCTTCCTAGCCTTTGGAGGAGGCATCTGCATGGGTCGATAGGTGCGGGCTTACAGCTCAGCGTGGTCTGAAATAAACTCAGCGTGGTCTAACGCTAAATACGGAACAACTCTTTTCCATCTTAACCATGATGAGGTCTTTATTTTTCATAAAAATTACATATTTTCAGTATACTGAAAATATGCACATTTTAATCCTAAGCTTAGAGTATTCAAAAAAAAAAGAAAAAAAAAAAAAAAAAAAAAAAAAATATCCAAAATACTCTAAAA